TGACCTGAGCTGAAATCAAGAGTCAGAGGCTTAACCAACTGAGTTTCCCAGGTGCCCCTTAATATATTTTATTTTAAGTAATCTCTATACCCAAGAGGGGCTTGAACTTTAGACCCCAAGTACCCCTGTCTATATTGGCTTAAATCCTGTTAATTGTTTTTGAGGTTTTATCTATCTGTAAATTAGACTTGATCCTGAATTCCTCTAGTTTCCTCAAATATCTGGCTATGACTCACCAAATTTACATTTCCAATTTCCTCCTGCCCTTCTGATTTGGAATCGCTAAGAACAAAGACTGTTTTGAGTCTCCTTGGATGGGAGTATATAGCAGGTCTTTGTCACAACCCAGATAGCAGCCAAATATCAGGGACTTAAAACCTGAATCTCCGTCTCACAGCTGAAGAAGGTTACATCTGAGATCTGGTCCTGTACAAAAGTTGGAGATCTGCAAATCAAATTAGGAAGAGAAGTAGCTGACATCAAGGTAGACTACTTTCTTCCAAGATGATAGATCAACACTTCATACTTTAACTAAACATGAATCTCTTCTTCCCTCTCTTTGCTTTACTCTGGCACTGGCCTGGGAAGATAACACCATCATCCATTATCTCCCAGGCCACTGCTAAGACGAATAACCTCTGGAATTTAGAACAACTTTTCATTTCAGGCTAGGAGAAAACCTAACTGACCCCTTGCTTGGATTAGCAAATGAAACAATCTCTGTGAATGAATCCATTAACAGTACCACCTTCATGGAAATGGTTTGTGCCCAATAAGGTTTTTGTTTTGTTTTGTTTTGTTTTGTTTTGTTTTGTTTTCCTGCAGTGGTTATCATTCTCCTTGGGTGTATGAATGCCTAGATGCTTGGCACATAGCTGGGCAATGCCTCTTAGGTTGTCTATCTGTGTCCCTAACTTTTTACAAACAAGCTAAGACACCTGTTCGGTCAACTCCTCTGAATTTACATTGTCAAGTTAGAAAGGACCTATCTGGAGGCTTTCATGATTCAGGATTCACTTACTTTGGCAGGTCCCTACTTGCCTGGTCAGGAGTAATGAGCACCAATGAGGCTATGACAAAGTATCTCTCTTTAGCTCTCAAAAAATACTGCAGAATCCATTGCAAAAGCAATAGCTGCCCAACAAATATCCGGAATCTCTAGTCAAACTTGTTCTTGATAATAAAACTGATTGTCTTTTAGCTAAGCATGGAGGTATCTTTGCCGTGGCCAACACCACCTGCTGTGCCTGGATTAACATTTCTGGGGAAGTTGAAATTCAGTTACAAAAGAGATCACTGAGCAACCTACTTCACTTAAAAAGGTGACTCCCTGGGGTGCCTGAGTAGCTCAGTCAATTAAGCATCAGACTTCGGCTTAGGTCAAGATCTCGAGGTCCGTGAGTTCCAGCCCTGTTTCGGACTCTGTGCTGACAGTTCAGAGCCTGGAGCTTGTTTCAGATTCTGTATCTGCCTCGTTCCCACTCACACACACACACACTCTCTCTCTCTCAAAATTAAACATTAAAAAAATAATAAAAGGTGACTCCTTCAGGGGCATCTGGGTGGCTCAGTTGGTTAAACGTGTGACTCTGGATTTTGGCTCATGTCTTGATATCATGGTTTATGAGATCGAGCCCCTCATCAGGCTCTGTACTGACAGCATGGACCCTGCTTGGGATTCTCTCTCTCTCTCTTTCTCTCTCTCTCTCTCTCTCTGCCTCTCTCCCTCATGCTCTCTCTCAAAAACAAACAAATAAACAAAAGTGACTCCTTTGAAGGTCTTTCTCTGACTTATTTAAAAAAATTTTTTTTAAGTTTATTTATTTTTGAGACAGAGAGAGACAGAGCATGAATGGGGGAGGGTCAGAGAAAGAGGGAGACACAGAATCTGAAACAGGCTCCAGGCTCTAAGCTGTCAGCACAGAGCCTGATGCAGGGCTTGAACTCACGGACCGTTAGATCATGACCTGGGCTGAAGTCGGACGTTTAACCGACCGAGCCACCCAGGCGCCCCTCTCTGACTTATTTGATTGTGATTGGTTTTTGTCTTGGGAACTCTTGCCCCAAAGTATACTCCAGAGATTGGGAAGTATCTTGCTTATAGCAATCATAGTAATCTCCCTGGCACCTTATGCTCTCAGTCTTTAAAGGCATGCATGTTTGCAGCCTCTAGCCAACAATCTAAGTCTGGTATGCCTAGAAATGAAGAAAATGGTCAGCTAAAAAATTTCAGGGGTGCCTGGCTGGCTCAGTTGATAGAGCATGCAACTCTAGATCTTGGGGGTGTGAGTTTGAACCCCATGTTGGGTGTAGAGATTACCTTAGAATAAAATCTCAAAGGGGTGCGGAGCTGGCTAGTTGGTAGAGCATGTGACCTTGATCTTGGGGTTGTGAGTTCAAGACCCACATTGCATATGGAGCCTACATAAAATAAAAATTTTAAGAGGTGTCTGCATGGCTCAGTTCATTGAGCCTCTGACTCTTGAATTGGGCTCAGGTCACGATCCCATGGTCATGGGATCAAGCCCTGCGTCTAGCTATGTGCTGAGCACAGAGCCTGCTTAAGATTCTCTTCCTCTGCCCATCTCCCCTGCTCGTTCTAAAATAACAAAAACTGTTGCATCCACACAACTCCTGAAACAGAATGCTACAGGCACCAGTGACAGTCACAGCAAAATTTATTGCAATGAGAGGCAAGGCCAACCGATTAGGACCCACACTCTTTTTTTTTCTTTTTTTTTAATTTTTTTTTTTTCAACGTTTATTC